AGTTCGCTAGTTCAAACCCCATTTGACTGAAAAAAATATTTGGAACCAATAATTTTTCAAACTGTGTAAATAAATAAGACATATAGATAGAATTAAATTTATTGAGTGTCAGTATTACAAAAATCGACATAATATATATATATATATATATATATATATATATACATATATACATATACGCATATATATACATACGCATATATATGTATATATATATTACAAAAATCGGCATAATAGATATATATATATATATATATATATATATATATATATATATATAATATAAATAAATATATATATATACGCGTATATATATATATATATATATACATATATATATATATATATATATATATATAAGATAAGAAAAAGTAGGAGAATAATTTTTAATAAATTTATATTTACGCCTGGTTAGCAGTACACCAAACCTACTTTGGTGTAATTTAAAAATCTCATTATTTTTTCGATAAAAAGACAGTCTATCAGGAGCAGCCAAAATTGGCCAAAATCGTGACTTTCAAATGCAATTTTAAGGCACTTAATGAATGAAATTAATAATTTTAATTAATGCTTTGTGTAGACTAAAGTATAATCTTTATACCAAACCAAAAAAAATACAAATTTATCATCGTCTTCATAGTTAAAATCAGCTTCAAAGTTGGCAATTTTTCAAACTTCAATTTGGTACCAAGGGCAGAAGAATTTTTTTTTCCAAAAACTAATTTCATATTCGGAATCAGCGCCTCGAAAACTATCAGAATCGGTCAAAACATTTTGAAAATCGCGAAAAAAAAATTAATTTCATTAGTAAAATTTTGATTTTGCAACCAAAGATTTCGATTTTTTGGGGGATGTATGTGGATTTATTCAAAAACGGATAATATTTTCGAAATCAGCGTCCCAAAATCAATCAAAACCAATCAAAACATTTTGAAAATCGCGAAAAAAAGCCGATTTTTTTTAAAAAAAATCGATTTTGCAACCAAAGATTTCGATTTTTCGCAGGGTGTATGTGGATTTATCCAAAAATAGATAGCATTTTTGAAATCAGCATCCGAAAATCTTTTGGAATCAGTCAAAAAAAAAATCCAAGATAGCAAAAACAAATCTATTTTTTTGCTAAAATTCCGATGTTGCAACCAAAGTTTTTGTTGTTTTTCAGTGATACACGCCCTGAAAGCTCATCAAACAGGATAATTTCGTCCTTGGCCTAATGAAAAATCATCCAAAAATTTTGTCCAATAAGTTCTTGATGATAAATTTCTTTTAGTATAGGGGAGACCCAGATTTTTTGGTTCCTGTGCATAAGTACCTGTAATAAGAATAAATATTTATTTATTTATAAAATAAAATTATTTGTTACTTAATACCAGACTAGTAACAATAAGTAAGCTTTGAATATTTTATTTGAAAATAAAACCACAAAAACTTAGTGAAAAAATAAAAACATTTGAATAATTTGTAGGTACATCATTTGTGTTAATCGAATAACTTGATATCATTTCCAAAGTTTAAAAAAAGCTCTTAAAACAATCCATGGATAGTATTCATGGATTCACCTTCAAATAAATCATTTATTATAATCCAATAATTTGATATCATCACTGTAGTTTTAGCAAAAGCATGAATAGCAGTCTTTGCTTTTAATATGGTTTATGATTTATAAATCTAAATTTTATCTATTTTTTACCAATATAAATAAATTAAAATGCCTAGAACAAAATTTTCAAGTTGTTTGATAAAATGTACACAGACACAAATTCTCGTTCCAGTTAAAAATTATACGAAATTTTAGTATCCAACTATATGTACTAAATTCTAGTAAATTTGATATAGTTTTTACTAATGTAAACAAATTTACGTGCCCGAAAAGAAAATTAAAAGTTGTTTGAAGAAAAGTAAAAAAAAGTCCCAAATCTACATATTACGTTTAAATTTGCGTTTCAACTGAAAATTGTTCAAAATTTTGATATGCAAGTATTTAAAACAATTTATACTATTTGTTAGTAAATTTCATCTAGTTTATACTAGTATAAACAAATAAACATGTTCTGAACATAGTTTTAAAGGTATTTCACAAAATGTAAAAAAACATCCAAAATCCACCTATAGCCAAACTCAAATCTGCGCTTCAACTACAAATTATTCAAAATTTTAATATAAAAGTGAATATAACAATATACACTAAATTCTTGCAAATTCTATTTAGTTTATACTAAAATAAACATATAAAAGTGTCCAGAATCTTGATATTGAATCTTGAACTTGATGTTTATTATATTCAAATTGGAAATTGCACTTATGATTAAAAAGGAAAAATCATCACTTACCATAATGATATGTATTCTTTGACTCATTTATGATGTAAATATTGAATTATTAATAACAACTGTTCTTATAACTCATCTTAACATGAAAATTCTTTTTGAATCTGAAATTGATTTTTTTTTCAAAAAACCACTCAAAAATTAATTTCCTTGTATAAATAACGCACATTTTGTTCAAACAATTAAAAAAGGTATTTCCCCTTCTGATATATTTCTGATTTTAAAAATCAAAAATAAAAAAATAGGAAAAAATCGGAGCTGTTTTAATTAATTGTTAAACATTTTTTTAATTAATTGACAATTTAAAACACATTTGAAAATAAACTTATTTAGTACAGACTGAGAATAACTGAAAGCATGTTTGACATTTAAAATTTCTAACCTTAAAAACTGTAATTCAATTGTAATGTTTAAAGTAACAAATTATGTTTTAAAAATGGTTTTTAATTTAATAAATATTGCAATGTGAGTAAAGAATAAATTATTTGTGGAAAAAATATTTAACAGATAAATTTAGAAATATGCCCCTCTGTTTGTAAACATATTTATGTAAACATAAACATAAACCACTTTGCTTAAAATTTAAAGTATAAAACATTATTTGGTACTTATCTTATTTATATTTTCACAGAAAACACTTTATTTTTAGATCCATCACTTTATAATTAGGACGAAGAACCTTGTTCAACTAAGATTCAACACATACTGATATTTTATTTTAATAATTTTCACAACAAACATTGAACATAGAGCAGAACCTAAACATTTATAGACTGGTAACATAGATTTCAGTATCACCACAATCTCTTTCCAAAGAAAAGTACAGTAGCGACAGCCAAATGCATTAAAAAACCATCAAATTTCGAAAAACAATTTATCTGTTTTTTTTTTCAAATTAAACACACTAGAAAAAATTGTGTTTAACTGAGGATTCGAACTGTAGCTCCGCTCGACAACGGCTACTACAACCTAACCATCTCGGCCACGAAACGTGCTTGACACTAACTCTAAAAATTCATACATTGGTACTTGCCAAAAGAACCAATATTATACTTTTATCAATATCAGTACTTATAATATAAATGAGACTCATATATCACTATAAATATATAATATCATTAACTTTTATGTAGCACGATGGCTTAGTGGTAAGACTGAAGAAACGATTGAGCTGTGAATTCGAGTCAGAAGCAAGGCTCGTTCGAATCCTTGACTAGGAGATGATGTTACCGATGCTCGAGCAATGCTCGAATATCGACAGATATATAGACACTCAGTAGATGTCGCTGGAAAACAGGAAAAAAGGAGTGGTATTCAGAGTATTGATGGTGATCTACAAGACATTCGGTAAAAGTCGCTGGAAGACAGAAAAAAACAGATTGAATTCACCGTGACGTGGTGGTGATCTACGAGATACTCAGAAGAAGTAGCTGGAAGACAGAAAAAAAGAGACGGTGGTTACCGAGATGCTGGTGATCTGAGAGCCATGAAATGTCTGAAAGACACAAAAAAGAAGAGCTGGTGAAAACGCCCACATTGACCGTGATGATGGTGATCTATAAGACATTCCGTAGATGATACTGGAAAACAGAAAAGTAAGGTCCACCAAAGTAATGGGCGATCTACAAGACCATTACGTAGGACGCTGAAAAACAGAAAAATAAATGCTGGTAAACAGAAAAGTAAAGACACATCCACCGAAATAATGGGTGATCTACGAGATTATTCCGCACGACGCTGTAAGACAAAAAAAATGAAGACACACACACATTTATCGTAATGATCGTGATCTACAAGAAACTCGATAAAAGTCGTTGGAAGTCAGAAGAAAAAAAGCTAGTGAAAAAGGGGCCACCATTTACTATAATTATGGTGATCTGTAACTTTATCGGAATCGCTGAAAGACAAGAGAAACACTGAAATAAACGAAGAAAATGCGTATGTAAAAAAAATCGAGTAATTTGCTGATTTATGGGCAAACAAAAAACATTCGAACTGGTTACTGAAATACCTAGTTATGCCATGGGGATCTTAGTGTTTTTTTTGTTTTAATTTCCAATTAGATTTGCCTCAGATGCAATTTCCAAACTGCTTTCTTGTGTTTTTCAAATAATTTCCAAATATATATATATATATTTGGAGACATTTAGAAATTTTATCTATTCATTGATAATGATGTTCGAACCATATATCTCTTTGTTGTGAATTACTTTGAAATGTCGTCCACAATTAAATTTATCACATCTATAGGTTAACAATCATATCATTAACTAAAAAATACATAATAAATCAAGAAAATAAAAGTCAATTTAACAACATGTTAAATATATTTGGTCCAGTAGAATTAACAATATGAAATACATAATTGGGTAATTTCAATTAAAAAATATTACCTAAATAATTCATATAAAATTATATAATACACGTAAGTGATTGAATATTCACGCTTAAAACTGCGTCATGATATATTTATATAAAATAACAATTAATGGTATCACATCCTTAGAATTTTAAAATCATATTCAATTTAATTAAAAATTATTGTCTTACATTTAATTACATTATGAAAAAACATAGGAATATTCGGTTCGGTTCTATATTGAAGAAGCAAATATATAAACTAAATTTATTAATAATGTAAGATGTGACATATTATTATACCAACTTGCTTTTTTAATGTAGATTTAATGAATAAATATGATTCCATATAAAAACATAATTTTTACCTGAATTTTAAATATATTTTTCCGACATATGCATGTGCATTTTCTAACGTGGTCCACCTTCATAACTTGTATGCTTCTGATCAAATTATGACATGCAAATCAACATATATTTTTATATATTATGTGTTCCTGTAAAAGAAAGAAAGACAATAATAATAGTCTATAAAAAGGTCTTGGAAATCGATTGAAACTTAGTAAAATACATGGATAAAAAATCGATTAAAACTTAGAAAAACTTATTAAAACTTATCCATGCATAATAATAATAAAGTCCATGAAAAAGACCTTACAATCGATTAAAACTTAGAAAAATACATGTATAAAAAATCGATTAAAACTTACAATTAGTAAAATCCATGGATAGTCCATGAATAAGGCTACGATTATCACATACATCTGAATATAATTGCAATATAACTATCATATACGATTGTCAATTTACTGATTGTTAAGTCAAGTTTTTTGCATATTTTTCTATAATACAAGTAACTATTACAAGTTACAATTAAACAAGATTATTGCAAAATATCAATAATCTAATAATTAAATTATCAAAAGAATTTTGTGTTTTATAGCAACTAAAAAGAAGTAGTAAACAAGAGCTATTTCTTCTAATAATAATCAATGTTTGTTTATTAATATTTATCCTATCTTATAGCTTTAAAAGACTCCATTACTTTGATTCATTTGAAATTGAAAAAAAATCTAGTGGTAGAATAAATTTACGCTCGAAATCCGCAGAAGATTGGTTTTGAATTTTACGAGAGCCCATTCATCGCCGTCGCTTTGAAAAGCGGGTGAGAAATCGAACTGCTGAATTACTTGAACAGTAAAAAATGTGAATGATTATTGAAAATCTATTTTATAGCAAATAAAAAAGTCACAACTTGCAAACCATATGTTTATAGAAATTTAATAAGAAATCATAACAAGAACGAGTCTTCAATAGCAAATATATATTTACTAATTACTATACTACAATTTTTTAATTTTTTAAATAATTCCATATTTTTCTGTGATATCTTATACAGGCCATGAAGTCAGGACTTGTCAAGAGTTTAAATTTGCAGTGATAGTTATGTGAATATTAATCAATAATTCAATTATAAGTTTTAGAGAATTTAATTTTTGTATCAACTTCTGTTAACAAGATCATTATGATAAAGTAAATAGCAAAAGATTTCCTTAACACTTTTATGAAAAACTTGAAGAAGTTAAATCAATTTAAAATATAGTTATTGGCTGGAGCTTGATGATTTATATCATTCAATGAAACGCCTTCGCCGCAGCAGCAGTTGCTTTTGCGAGATTATTTTTATTAACTGAGAACCCAGAACCATATTTTTACTGCAAAAGGCAGAAGTGGTGATATAAAATTAAATATCACTCTGGAAAGCTATGAAATGGCAATATTTCACATTCGCAGCATCTTGCACAAAATTCTGATACAAGATATCTTATATCTGATATCTTTTAAATACGCATATTTCGTTCATATACATCCTGATCCTATGTTGAATATTTTTTGAGATATATGCGTTTAACTGTTTCAAACTTAAAAATTTGCAATCGTTTTTTGCGTATATCTCGCGAACGGTAAGAGGTATCTTAAAAATTGACAAATAATAGATAAACTAATGGGCTTTATTGTTTCTATAATACTTCATTGTGTTAGCATTCAAACAACACATCCTTATACACTAGAAGTATTAATATTTTTGATTCTCTAGAAATTGTTTAGAATATACTTACTTAGCAGAACAACGTTTGCCGGGTCAGCTAGTAATATATATTTTTGTAAATTACAAATTAATTCACTTCTACATATTTTATTTCTTTGCACTCAAAGCTTTGAGAAGAACACAAGAGAGGAACATGTTATTATAAGCTAAACAATCATTGCTCCTGATACTCGGAAAAAACACACAAGCAAGCGAGCATGTATGTGAGAAACGGTCTTAGAGTGCGCGTGTGCTCCTGATACTTGAAAAAATCGAAAAATTATCGAATTAATTATCGAAGTCCAAAATGCGTATAATAATAATGTATGTATAAGTTATTGAAGATATCCAATTCTATTTATTATTTTGAAACGTTTAAAAGTGTTTATAATATAGTTTTTTTAATTATTGAAAAGGAATATATCTCGCGAACGGTAAGAGGTATCTTAAAAATTCTTATACTGGGTTAAAGATCTTTTGATTTAGAATATTTCACCTGGGAACATCAATATCCTACGATGAATCGTTCAAAAGTTATAGGCGCTTAAAGATTTCCTGAGTAAATAACGCTCAAAAATGGACGAAAAATTTGTTAGTTTTTTTAATTTTTCACACACTTACCGGGCACGTAGAAGCTTCAATTGAACGTCAGGTGAATTGTCTTGTGGGCTAGAATAACGTGAAAAAAACTGCATTTTAATATTCTCAACGGTTGCCGAATAAATAAAAAAAACTGAAATTATAGCATGATGCTAGGGTCATGAATTGTCTTTCGGTGTGGGGAAAAAAAAATTGCGTCCGATTTTGATGATTTTCACAACGTAGGTACCTTAGGGCCTCAGGAGAATGCTATTAAAAAATTTCGACCGCACTGCAAATAGTTTTCGAGAAAAACGCATTTTTAATATTTCAATGGAATTGAAAAAAAAATGGTTTTTTGCAAATATCTCGGGAACGGTTAGAACTATCGTAAAAATTTTTGCACCAGCAGATACATATTTTAAATACGCATATTTCATTCATATACATCATGATGCTATGTTGAATATTTTCCGAGCTATAGGCGTTTAACTGTTTCAAACTTAAAAATTTGAACTCGTTTTTTGCGTATATCTCGCGAACGGTAAGAGGTATCTTAAAAATTCTTATACTGGGTTAAAGATCTTTTGATTTAGAATATTTCACCTGGGAACATCAATATCCTACGATGAATCGTTCAAAAGTTATAGGCGCTTAAAGATTTCCTGAGTAAAAAACGCTCAAAAATGGACGAAAAATTTGTTAGTTTTTTTAATTTTTCACACACTTCCCGGGCACGTAGAAGCTTCAATTAAACGTCAGGTGAATTGTCTTGTGGGCTAGAAAAACGTGAAAAAAACTGCATTTTAATATTCTCAACGGTTGCCAAATAAATAAAAAAAAACTGAAATTATAGCATGATGCTAGGGTCATGAATTGTCTTTCGGTGTGGGGAAAAAAAAATTGCGTCCGATTTTGATGATTTTCACAACGTAGGTACCTTAGGACCTCAGGAAAATGCTATTAAAAAATTTCGACCGCACTGCAAATAGTTTTCGAGAAAAACGCATTTTTAATATTTCAATGGAATTGAAAAAAAATGGTTTTTTGCAAATATCTCGGGAACGGTTAGAACTACCGTAAAAATTTTTGCACCAGCAGATACATATTTTAAATATGCATATTTCATTCATATACATCATGATGCTATGTTGAATATTTTCCGAGCTATAGGCGTTTAACTGTTTCAAACTTAAAAATTTGAACTCGTTTTTTGCGTATATCTCGCGAACGGCAAGAGGTATCTTAAAAATTCTTATACTGGGTTAAAGATCTTTTGATTTAGAATATTTCACCTGGGAACATCAATATCCTACGATGAATCGTTCAAAAGTTATAGGCGCTTAAATATTTCCTGAGTAAAAAACGCTCAAAAATGGACGAAAAATTTGTTAGTTTTTTTAATTTTTCACACACTTCCCGGGCACGTAGAAGCTTCAATTAAACGTCAGGTGAATTGTCTTGTGGGCTAGAATAACGTGAAAAAAACTGCATTTTAATATTCTCAACGGTTGCCAAATAAATAAAAAAAAACTGAAATTATAGCATGATGCTAGGGTCATGAATTGTCTTTCGGTGTGGGGAAAAAAAAATTGCGTCCGATTTTGATGATTTTCACAACGTAGGTACCTTAGGACCTCAGGAAAATGCTATTAAAAAATTTCGACCGCACTGCAAATAGTTTTCGAGAAAAACGCATTTTTAATATTTCAATGGAATTGAAAAAAAATGGTTTTTTGCAAATATCTCGGGAACGGTTAGAACTACCGTAAAAATTTTTGCACCAGCAGATACATATTTTAAATACGCATATTTCATTCATATACATCATGATGCTATGTTGAATATTTTCCGAGCTATAGGCGTTTAACTGTTTCAAACTTAAAAATTTGAACTCGTTTTTTGCGTATATCTCGCGAACGGCAAGAGGTATCTTAAAAATTCTTATACTGGGTTAAAGATCTTTTGATTTAGAATATTTCACCTGGGAACATCAATATCCTACGATGAATCGTTCAAAAGTTATAGGCGCTTAAATATTTCCTGAGTAAAAAACGCTCAAAAATGGACGAAAAATTTGTTAGTTTTTTTAATTTTTCACACACTTCCCGGGCACGTAGAAGCTTCAATTAAACGTCAGGTGAATTGTCTTGTGGGCTAGAAAAACGTGAAAAAAACTGCATTTTAATATTCTCAACGGTTGCCAAATAAATAAAAAAAAACTGAAATTATAGCATGATGCTAGGGTCATGAATTGTCTTTCGGTGTGGGGAAAAAAAAATTGCGTCCGATTTTGATGATTTTCACAACGTAGGTACCTTAGGACCTCAGGAAAATGCTATTAAAAAATTTCGACCGCACTGCAAATAGTTTTCGAGAAAAACGCATTTTTAATATTTCAATGGAATTGAAAAAAAATGGTTTTTTGCAAATATCTCGGGAACGGTTAGAACTACCGTAAAAATTTTTGCACCAGCAGATACATATTTTAAATATGCATATTTCATTCATATACATCATGATGCTATGTTGAATATTTTCCGAGCTATAGGCGTTTAACTGTTTCAAACTTAAAAATTTGAACTCGTTTTTTGCGTATATCTCGCGAACGGTAAGAGGTATCTTAAAAATTCTTATACTGGGTTAAAGATCTTTTGATTTAGAATATTTCATCTGGGAACATCAATGTCCTATGATGATTCGTTCAAAAGTTATAGGCGCTTAAAGATTTCACGAGTAAAAATGCCCAAAAAATGGACGAAAAATTTGTTAGTTTTTTTAATTTTTCACACACTTTCCGGGCACGTAGAAGCTTCAATTAGACGTCAG